CAAACCAAAGCCTCGAAAGTCTATTTCAGACACTTAAGACTTTATTTAACCAAGGTTTTCATTGAAGTACCTACACGTTTGACTTCTGTTCTGGCGATCTTCTCTCATCGGCCGTCCACAACAGACTAACTCAACAACCCAATTGTCTCCGTATTTATATACACTCCAGGTCACATGACCTGCGGAGAACCGAAGGGAACAAAGAGACAGGAAGTCAACACAATGCAACTACCGAGAAACGAAGGGTTTATTTGATCTCGATTACAGTTTCGCTTCACGGGGCATTCCGGTGATTCGTAGTACCGATGTCAACAAAGTTTTCATCAAGTCGTGCGTAGAATATTTGTACATTATTTATTTATGTTAATGGTCTTCCCCTTCGTTTTATTGACTTAAAACAAATGTCCAACTACTTTGATTGAGTCTTGTTAATCTAAGAACCCCAGTTTAAGTTTATTAATAATTATTAATTTTTTTAAGTAGACCACAAATAATTTTCAAAGTCCCCTTCCTGACCATTAAAAAAATTGAAATATCACCATGCAATATTTCCACTCTCAATTCTTTAAAATCCAAATCCATGAGGTCAGTTGTCTTTTAGGAGAACTTTAAAGGCATTTTAAAAGAATGAAAAATAATTTGCATGCATAAATTTGGCCCCTCCTCTGACACCAAATATAACAAGTGGTGTAAAATCACGTTTCTAACTGGACTTAAACCTAAGGCCTCTGGCATACCCTGCCTGGGTTCTTACAAATCAGCTATTGAGACCCGATATAAGTACTGATTTTACACATATGTGAACCCAGTAACATTCAATCCTAATTTAAAATAATTCTTTCTTTGATGGAAAATTCATGATGGTAATTGTGAAAAGATAGTTTTCTGTGTCTTTTCTATCCTTCATTTAATAATCGTGATGTCAGTGGGTGTCAAGGTGCATGAAAAGTCAATATATTAGGCCTCAATTGCTCAGTGATTAAAGTGCTGACACTGCAGTTAAAAAAAAAATCTCAAAAACAATAACACTAGATCAATTATTCAATATCTTTTTGTTTTTCCAAATTCAAGACAAAAATTAAACCAAAATTCTTAATTGCAAAAATCATTCAACATATAAACTTTTAAATAACAAACAGTTTTATGAAAATTTAGAATATCTAAAATCAATTATTTCATAAAATTCTGACACCTCTAGAATGTGCCATTCTGTTCCTAATAATGAAGATATAGCATTTTCAAAATTATCTCGCTCATAATTATCAGCAATAAAACGTTTAATTATAAAGTCTGTTTCTAAATCCTCTGGCAGGTCGTTAACATACAATATCATATCACGACGGACAAGGAAATCTGTCAGGTTTTTATTTAGGTACACCATAAGAAGGATAGCTGCGCTGGACAAGGTCTCCTTAATGGTCACCGTCCGGAGTCGTGGACAGAGCCGAGCCAGTCTTATAATATGGCAGTCCACACGGTCCATATAACTGTGAGGGACAGGGTAATTATAGGGCTGCTGACAGAGGCTGAAGTCCACAAAAGTCGTCAATGTATCAGAGTGATATGTCATAAGTGTGCACACTGATTCTAGATATTTAATCCAGACATTTTTCCGATACACAAGGGAGGCCAGAGGCATGCTAGGCTTCAAGAAAACCTCTTTTTCTGTCCATTCATTGGATGTTGCTAAGAAACAATGAACTCGGAGTTTGGGTCCATGTTTCCTGATTTCGCCCCACTGTGCGTCACTGATTGCCTCATTGTAGAAGCCTCGGGTTTGAGCGTTGGCCACAATATGGAGATCTCTCAGGGATAATGAAGCCAGATGTTTCAATAGACTGAAGTTTAACTGATGGGGAATCATTGCTAGCTCCGTCAGGTTCACAAGGTACATCAAATTACTCAAACAGCTGCTCCGGAAAGAATTTACAATCCATAAGCTATGAAGACAGCCTGATTGTTTCAGTCCAATGGGCAGGGGTGCATTTTTGGTACCTGAATTATCTACATTTTCTATTTCTAATTCCCTTATCACATTGTTTCTCTGAAGGAACTCCCGCAAAGTACACTTCAAAAGCTCCATTTCTGATAACTCTACACACATGCATATTAAAGTAAATTTCCTAACATTACAACAATTTTGAATTATTTTCTGGTAGACTTCAAATGAGGATGTGCTCTGGATGGCTACATAGATCCTCCTCATGTACCTTCCGAATCTCTCGACACATTCCAAAACACTCCGATGGAAGTCCTGATACTGCTGCAAGTCTTCTAAGGATGATGGGATTCCCATTTCAAAGATTTCATCCCAAACACGACTTTCCGAGTACTGGAATCGGTGCCATGCGCCGGTCTGTCCTAGAGCTTCTCGCCAGATGGAACAGGTATTGTATACACTCACTTTGTCCACTAAAGATAGGCAGTTAAACACTTTACCCAAAACAACCTCTGGCGCCTTCTCCCAGTCTGCCATATTCCTTTAAAGACTTCTTTGTTAAACTGAAAAAAGAAGCACGAAAAATTAATAAGGTTAATAATAACAGGCAGTAAACTAGATCAAAGTACCATTCAACAAAGCTTTGCACTGAGAGTAATCACAGCAAAGATATGGATATATAAAGTGAAACTCACACCTTAAGTCCTTAAACTTCATTTACTGTCTCAGCTCATCTTCTATTTATGATTTTGTCAATCAAAAGGCATTTTCTGTATTGAAACAATCTCCTAAAACATTCTACCCTAAAATTAAAGACATAAAAAATAACAAAGATATGAGAACCATTTACTCATCATTTGTTGACATTTGAGTAAATTATACATTGTACGAGTTACATGTAATGTATTTTCATAAGATCAAATGGTTTAAAGTTCAAAAGATCCGAGCAAGCAAATACTGGAAATAAACGTTCACCTTCTCCTGTCGACCCTTTGATGCTTCTTGTTAACAGTGTAACTGTTTAGATCTAAAGACCATATGTTAATCTCTAGAACGGTAAATTTATTTTTTTCTGTCAAAATCATAAGACCGGATGTCAGAGTTGCCAGAGACAAACTTCCGTAAATGCGCAGTTCTCTTGCGCAGTCGAAAAATTCCAACAAGCTAAGAGAACTGATGGTTTGTAAAATGATTGGAATCGTTTCTTTTAGAGTTTATAATCAACCAATTTCGTATTTGTCTTGAAATTTAAGAAAATAATTCACTGTACGACTGTTTATGATTGCTTGCTAAAAAAAATCATAATGAAGTTCTTACAAGAACGAATTTTAATGAACATTTCTTTTTTAAAAAGGAGGGGTATAACATGTACTAGAAGAGGAGAAAAACATTCATTCATAAACCTAATGACATTTTTCCTTATACAGAATTTCTTGACATGAATCGCATGAACATGATGGAGCAAGTCCATTTAGCGGGCGAGGACGAAGATGACATTTATGGGGGCTTCAATGATTACAATGCCACTCTGGATGTTGATGTGAGTGTGTAATTATACTGTGTGTATAGTGATGTAGCATATAGTCATTGCATGCATAATAATCTAATCTAACACAGGCCTTTAAAATCCGTCGATATCCAGTACTTTTACTCAGCAGAAATCATGATTTTACTCTTCAAAATATTCAACAGAGAATCTAAATTCAATAACATATTTAATGAAATATGCTTTCAACAGGTGCTTCCTATTTTTATAAAAGTACCATCTGTTTCTAATCATTTTGAAAATTCTGCTGACACTGCCTTGTCTCCATGCTAATTAATCCCATTTCTGACTGGTGGTTCACTAGAAGAGTCTCACAATATACTGAAAATTATACCTTCCCATCTGTTGAAAATAAGACGGAAGCTAAAGCGTGACAAGATTGGGGCATGTTTGCCCACTATAACCTTGTTGCGAGAGCTAGCGTCTGCATGTTTGGGGAGAAGATGTTGATTTGAGACTCAGTCTTGACTCTTTTTGACCATCTCCCTGCCTATCATGAAAACAGGATTGTATGTAAGATACCTTTTTTTGATTGCAGGATTTACAACACGATACATCCTTCCAGAAAGCTGTGATGAGAACAAGTCATGGTCGGCGACCTCCCCCTGTAAGTTACTGTCATCTCATGATTCTTCTGAAGTTATAACACTATATTAAACACTGTTTTCTCTCTGTATCAGAATTCCAGTATGTGAGTTAAATAAATGATTAGCAATATGTTATATTATATGGATTGAAATGTTGGGGATGATGATTTATTATTAGATTCGTTTACCAAAAAAAAAAAAAATCAAAAGATTTTTCTGCCATATTCTGCCATATAGAGGTATGCAAGAAGGCATAATATGACATATTTTTAAGTATTGTGCATTTTATGACCAGCAGTATTGACATTATTCATGAATCTGAATCGTAGACAGCAGCCAGGGGACTGGGGGGAGTTCCTGGAACCGCCGCACGAGGTAGAATGGGAATGCCCTCCTCCATGGGCCGCCTAAATACAGGAGCAGTGGGAGGAGGCCAGGATATGGCTCGTCCAATGACGGCAGTGAGAGGGGCAGGGTATACGTCAGCCGGAAATAGAGGTAAATTGGGGAAGGAAGGGAGGAGGGGGACTCATGTATACAACTCTGTGAGGGGTCAGGTATAGGGGAGGGAACGCACAATTTGAGAGGGGCTGGGTATAATACAGCCAGAAATAGAGGTAAGGGAGGGCCCTCATTCAATAGTATAGAAATTGCAAGAACACTCTCGTGGCCCAAGACTTGTATACGAGAACGGCACAAAGCAGAATGGGTTTCAAATATATTTTTTAACTGAAGAATGTAGTGTTTTAGGGGAAGACTTGTATTTGATGTAAATGAATAACATTAGTAATGATTCATGTGATATTATGTTATTTTGCAGCATAAACCTTCAATCAAATGATTCAAATCTAATAATTGTTTATTAACCTGTAAGTAAGTTTACTTCTTTCTTTAAGCTGCAGGTTTTGATCCCATGAATCAGGCAGGACCGGCTCCCCCACTGGAGCCCAAGCCAGAGGAAACGTAGGTAGCTGTAAAGACTAATCCATCTATATTATCAGATGTCAGCAATGCAGACAATTAAATAATCAGCTTTATAAAAAAAAAAACTTGTATGATAATGTTAAATGATTGAATGTTTGTGTGTTCCATGATAACTTGTAAAAAATACAGCAATCAGTAGTATTGGTATCACATATTTCATGACAGATAAAAATTTATGATTTCAAACTTACACTTATTTAGTTTTTATACAGTATACTATACAATACTTTATTACAGCCCAGAGGAGAAGATCCGCCAGTTGGAGAAAAAAGTTAATGAACTAATAGAGGAGAGCTGTTTTGCCAATAGCACTGGAGACCTTAGTCTGGTATGGGGATAATATCATTGGTTCAGGATTTGTTTTTTGTTATCAGAGCTTAATCAAACAAATTTGAAATGGGAAATTTGAAAATGAAACATGATGAGTCCATTTCTTCTGTGTATTTAGGCTCTTGAAAAGGCTAAAGAAGCAGGGAGAAAAGAAAGAGTTCTAGTGCGACAGAGGGAGCAACAGTCCATGGGAGATCAGATTAACCTTGATCTGACCTACTCTGTGAGTTAACCTTGACCTTAATTACACTGTGAGTTAACCTTGACCTTACCTACTTTGTGAGTTAACCTTGACCTTACCTATTCTATGAATAACTTAGATCTTACCTACTCTTTGAATTAAATTGACCTTACCTATTCTGTTAACACCTTTTAATTAACCTTGACCTTTTCTAAATTGTAAGTTTATCTTCAACCACATCTTTAACATTTCTCTACCATGTCAGGCAACTTCCACTTTGCCCACTGTAAACTGCTGTAATGTATATACTGTTAGTCTTTGCAAGTTAATTATCTGTGCACTATTGTTGTATAACTTACAACTGTCCTGACCTATTCTAATCATTCAGAAAAGGATAAATCTGATATACAAAATACAAATGATTTGGACATGTGTATGCTCTGTACTAGATTTTATCGATTTAAATATAAATGTGTATGAATATGACTTTTTAGGTGCTGTTTAACTTAGCCAACCAGTATGCTGCTAATGAGATGTTTAACGAAGCACTCAACACCTATCAAGTGATAGTCAAAAACAAAATGTTTACAAATGCAGGTAGGGCAAGGATTAAAACAAAATGGGACTAGTTTGTGAAGTCATAAAAGCAAGAAACTGCTATGAAACTACAGTACGTTCTGTTAATTTATATATCTCGTGAACAAGTTTTATAGAATTCAGCACATTTCAAGAATTTTTAAAATTTGACTGGTGTCACATTATGTCATGATACATATAGTTCTTTTAAAAAAATGAAAGAAACGCTTATCGTTTTAGCAATATTCTATACATTCTTTGTCCCTGTGCAGCTCCAATGGTACTAGATAAATTCAAATTATTTATACATTGTATTTAATTATTTTCTAAAAGATTTCATAATTTTCATAATTAAGCTTAAAAAATAAGCGATGATTTCATATTTATGTAAGCAATTTATAAAATTAAACCAGTGAATCTATTCTCAGGATCACTACATGTAGGAGTATGTCAAGCTGGGTGTAAAAAATAGTTAAAAAACTTTATTTATAATAAAAACAAAGTATTGTTATTTTATAAGATTTTGCAAATATTTTATAACAAAAATTGAATTCAAGTTGTTTTTGACGCATCATGATGTTCATAATTTGATTTTTGGGTCGTGAAATTTTTCATGACGTCACAATTAAACTTCCAATACAGATGCGGTTGTGACCGGTATATTCACCAAAGGGACGCTCACTCCTCCATTGCAGTTGAAAAAAGGCGAATGTGCATGGTGAATTTGTATTTGTATGAAAAATTATATTTATAATGTTTGTAAAATATCCTTCATGCAACCTCAAAAGAGAATCTAAAAAGAGAATACACAATAATTAAACAAATAGGCCCATGGGCCACATCACTCACCTGAGAAGCCTTGACCATGCTGTTCTTTGATTATCGATAGTAAAATTTGTCTGTTTTTACAACACTAATTAAAAAGGAGGTTACTGATTTTTGAGTGGATTTTGTATTTATTAATTTTTTTCTACATAAATTTCAGTTTGTTTGCAGATTATCTGGTTTACATTAACAATAATTTTCAATAAGATTTTTTTAAAATTGTAATTAATTTTAAAATATGCTTTTTACCTAGCCCAATATCCCTGCAGAATATAGGGATAGTGTTTGTGACAACCAGGATGCTTCCAGTATAAGTTTCCATGCTTTTTGAACACATCATGCAGGAATTTTTTAATGACCCCATTCTATTTTTATCTTTTCTTGATTATCTCCCCTTGTGAGAGGACTTGAGGCTTAAATTCATTTAAAAAATTTAAATACCTATTAAATACCTATCAAGGGATGCTTTGTACCAAGTTTGGTCACATTTCCCAAAAAATATACAGAGAAAAAATTTCAAAATGTGAAAGTTTAAACCGTATTAAAATATTGTGATCAGAATAGCTCACTTGAGCCTTTGGCTCAAGTGAGCTTTTCTGAGAAAGGGATAATTTTCATAGCCGATTTCCGTTGTCGTTGTAAAAATTTCACATTTTATTTATTGTGCTCCGCTATTAGCAGACCTATTTTGTATTCATATGAAGCAGAGTATGTGTAAAAGAAAGCTTTGGCCTTCAACTCAACATTTAGATATATCGAGGAAGTACATGTATTTTAAATTAACGGTAATTTCTATTCAATCATCGAAGATACGCAATATCAAGGTAAGCTTGAGATTAAGTTACAATATAGTCTGACATATCTGCTTCATACCTGGATATTTTACTAGAAAAAAATATAGTAATCTTACAACCAAGTCCTATAGTAAATGTGATGACATTCATTTTTCTATCGTCAACTTCTCTTTCTTTTGCAGCAAAATACATTCATCACCTGCATGCTGAATTTATATATTTCAGTTGATTCGATACGCAAGAGCATGCTCTTCGTATGAACAATTTCTAAAAGGAAGTCATTACTACTGACATACAAGTTGATGAAACAAGAATATACAAGAATATCAGCAGTCTCGACTTTTATCTTTCAAAAAAAAATTCTCGACCTCGGAGGTTATCCTGAACATTCACGAAAATGCGGACTTTGTTTCTTAAACAATTTGCTTCATTAGGTTTCATCAAAAGATGCACTGCTTTATTATGTTTCAAACAAAACCATAAATTTATCATATTTATATGGAAGCATCCTTTTGTAGTGAAGATCTCAAGCAACTTGTTCACTTACAAACCCCCTATAGTAAATCATGTCTACAAATGCATATACAGTTTTACATAGACATATATAGAAAATTCTTTAAAAATGATTTTATCAAGAATAGCAAAGCCATGATTGGACATTGGACTACTTTTGGATTTAGAGACTATTTAATTACAAACCAATTTCTAGTTTTTCCTAGCCAAAATCTTTAGCATGTGCTTATGTTGGTTTGTTATTTTCACTTTCAATTTTTATTTTCAAACTTTAGTTTGAAATTTACATGTATATCTTCAGGAAATATTCTCTTTTAACAAAAAATTATTTACAAACAAAAATAATATATGCAAGTACAAGAAGGTGGCATAATACATGGATATTAAATTTTTTAGAATGCTAATTCAAGTTTGTTTACAGTTTGTAGGGCTTCTTTGAGAGCTGAATTACCTCTCATTGTTTTGTGTTAATATTGACAGGAGGATAAAAACTATAACCTGATTCTGGAGGTCATCAAAAACGATTCCCTCCGACAGATACAAGATCAAACAATGATAATCTAGAAACAACAGAATCTAAGAAAGATTGGTGATACACTTCTGTAGCACTGAAACTGTTGTGCTTTAATAGTATGTTGCACTAAAAGTTGAATACTCTTGTTAACAGGAAGTACGATGCTGAGAACTGCATTAAGACAGCAGCCAAGATCATCTCACCGGCCATCGAAGCCCAGTTCTCCCTGGGATACGAAAGAAAATGTAAATTTATAAAAAATATTCAAACCTCATTTGATTCATGCATATATAAAGTCCAGTTATCAGTTTGTTTACTGTTCACAGTGTTAGTACCGATCTGATACTTGCGTCCAAGATAATACATGACTTGTACAAGTAATAAGCTAAAAAATTTTGTTGCAGAGCATGCCTCATGAAAACTTTATGTCAAAGTAATATATATATGTAAATTAAGAATAGAACTATAGTTCCATGCAAAAAAACATTTTAACCATGATGAAGATTAAAAAATCAGAAGTAGTTACATGGCATTTTTGAATCCCAATATTATTATTTCAACAGAAAAATTTAATCAGGTTAAAAAGTTTGTTTACATCAATATTTATACACAGAAAGAAGTCTTGATGATTAAGAAAGCTTCCATCTCAATATGATATGATAATTCTGAATTAACAGGTGCACAGAGCAAGTGAAGTCCTCACAGTACCTTGACCTTGCCCATGACCTTGAAATCGACAAGGCCATCATGTTCCTGAAAGAGAAAGATTTCAACCAAGTAAGTGAAAATAGATTCAACCAAGGTAGAAAAATTTGAACCAAGAAAATTGGGTTTTAAAGCATGCACATAATTTCAGTCAATGAGGTAATTTTAGAAATAAAGTAAATTTGAGAGTTTTGTAGCTGGATTGATAGATTGAAAAACTATGTTGTTTTATGTCCCATTCAAGAATTTTTCACTCATAAAGAATGGTAGCTGGAAATAAAGGATCTGAATTGTATTTGAGATGAGTTGTATTGCTGAATAATTTGATTTTGTTTATATTCTAGTCTCTCATTGGTTGATTTCCAAAAAGGAACGCAAACCATTTCTTAATAACCTGGTTTGGTATGGGGACACACCCCCTTGACAACCAGCTGAATCATCTGTATCCATGCAATCCTCTCATTTCCAGTCCATGGGATGCATAAAAAAATCCAGATTTAATAAATGTGCCTTTAACTTCAAACAGTAACTCGATCTTACCTCATGTAAACAAACATCATGGCTGCTAGATCTGTGTATCAGTTATTACGTCCCCTTGTTTCAAATCACTTCCGTTACTAGGGATGCATTATTGAGCGGCAAATTTGAACTCATAAAAAGCACCACAATTTTACACCCACAGTTGTTCAATTATTTAAAAATTAAATTATAAGGAATGACTCTAATTCTTGGCCAAATTATTCAATGATAACCTGGTTTGGGTCAGTTTACGCTTTTTTATAATCCGCTTCACGGATTATAAAGCGTCACAGATTATAAAGTGTAAACTGACCCAAACCAGGTTATCATCGAATAATTTGGCCAAGAATTAGAGTCATTCCTAAAATAACAAAAGATTTATGTCTAATGTATGAAATTGTGTTACCATATAAACAAGTTCTGACAGAAAGTCTGAGTATTGCTGTTGTGTATCATTTTATGTATATTTTAGGCGATCGAGACTCTGAAATCTTTTGAAAAGAAGGACACAAAAGTAGCGAGCACGGCTGCCACCAACCTGTCCTTCCTGTACTTCCTGGTGAGTTATCTGACTTCCTGTTTCACTTCCTCTTCCTGTCTGACAGAACAAAGGCAGCTGTCTCTTGTCAATCTGATAGCTATAGGCTCAATTACTGCTATAGGTTTAAAAAGGAGAAATGATACATACTGATTCAGTGAATATGCTGCAGGAATATTTAGGTTTTACTTCGCTTATAACCATTACTTTTAAGTCATTCTAATTTCTGTCTGCTTGGCCTATACTTGATGAATAAATCATGGCAAATTTGTTTGATTTAATTGTTAAGTTGGAAAACTACATTCTGTTGCCTTTAATCAGCATCTAATACAGTTAACGCATTATAACTTGCCTGAAGACTGAATGTTTTAGCCTAGTATTGTCAGATGTTATAATCACTTCGTGGGTCAGTTATTGTGTGTTTTATGTTTACACTACAGCATGGAGAGGTATATACAGCATAACTAGCTTATTTACCATTGCATATTGTCTACTTTCTTTATCATTTATTTTGTTTATCTCCCTTTCTCCTGAAGTCATTCTTTTTTATCCCCCCCCCCCAAAAAAAAAATTATCAAAAAATGTGTAAACTGAAAATATATTGTGTATATTATGATATCATTTCATTTATTAAACTGAAACCCCCCCCCCCCCCACAATATTCAAAAAAAGAATGACTTCATAATTGTATCTTGCAAATACTGAGAAAAACAGCTCTCTCGTATCATTCCTGAGTCCTTTTCATCTTACCTGAACCAAATGCTGATGTAGGTTTTTCTGATCAGATATTTGTCTGGTAACCTGTCTCTCTGTATGTGTTAGTTTGCATATGTGTCAGGAAAATAGGACATGAATCCCCTGAAAAATGCTGTTAATTAGGATTATCAAGACAATCATATGCAAGAATATGTGCATTGCAGTTTAGCAATCACACAGTCTTTCTTTGTCGACATTTGTTTTTTGGCTCAAAGGTCAAATGTTAAAGGTCAAGATTATTGAAATAAACATAGAATACACTGTACTGCCCCCATATGACCTCAGTTTTCTATGTTTCAAGAGATCAGAATTCTACCGAGTTCTCCATGGCATCTGATTGGCAGAATGGCTGGTTGTTATCATTATTTTTTTTAACAATTTTTGGGTTAATTTAGACATTCTTTTAGATTCAATCAACATTTATTTGATTGATAGAAAAATGAAGCACAAATCGTGACTCTGGCATTTGATTGGTTGAAATTGATTAAATTCAATTGATTATTGCTCTGAGTGCATATAAGATGTTAACTATACAATTTGGGTTGAGTTATTCATTTATTTGTTTTCATCCAAGGAATTGTAATGACTGAAAAATGTCTTTTATATAAAAATCTTAAAAATAAATATTAAGAGTGAAGATAATGAAGTATGATCATGCTGAAATCCAATAAAAGAATTTCAAATATTATCAGACCAAACACATACCTCCAAAAACATCAGAGGATCAGGTGCCATGGTAGAGTTAGCATCCCCTATTGTCTGTTCATAAGTAAAATGATAATATTATGCAATTTCTGACTTTTGTAAATTAGGTGAGCTAAATGTGGCCTATGACCTCTTTTTGTTGAGAAAAATTGCCTAAGAAATTTTGTTCATTTGAAAGCATGTACTTTTTCACTGTGTCAACTCCCACCACTAAGAAAAAGTTAAACATAGAAATCTTTGGAATTCTCTTTTTTCTTTTGTTGTGAAAAGGGGGTAGGGAGTTTATAGAAAGCATATTTATTAACATTTAGAAATTAATGAAGAAACTAACATAATTAGTCTTAGAATATTGTTTGAGAGACCACTTGCTTTTTGGTAGTTCACAGAATCAATGTTTTGTCACAGAAGTTGTTTCTCTGCTTTGGGTCATTTTTTACCTAATTGTTTTTGTTTTATTGCATATATTTTATGCATTCATTGTTGAATTTGAATTGTACTTTCCAAGTTTAAGACCCTCTTTTAATTTTTCTGTAACCATTTTACTTATACATGTACATGTCTGTCTAAATGTTATGTAAGTCAGTAGGATTTTCTGATTTCTTGGTTAATTTAACTGGTACTAGGAAATGAAATAACAATTTTGAAATGGTTTACAATTCGTTAGCATACAAATTCTGTATCAGATTCACTGTAACTAGAATTATTGTAGTCTTTAAACAAGAAAGTTCTATACAATTAGATAAATATGTACAAGTTCTGCTCCTTATCAAATTCGGTTTAATGCAATTCCCAGATAAGATATTCATTTTCTTGATCCTTATAATATACTATCAATCAGCTACAATATTTTCAATCTTATAACCAAATATTTTAAATCTGTGTGAACCATGCTTGTGATTTAACAATTATTATTTACTTTAGCTTCCTAATTAATAAAAACATGTTTAACATTATTTTCAAGGTTTGCAATGGTAAAAATCTTTTTATGCTATAAACAGAGAGCACAGTAATTATTAATTTTGTAATAGACAGGTCTAGGGCAATGTTTATGTTGTTTGGTTGATACGTAACAGAGTATTTTGTGTAATGTTAACCACAGTTTATAATTATAATTGTTTATTTTTACTGTAGGAGAATGATTTAGAACAGGCTGACAAGTACGCTGAGCTGGCAATGAGTGCTGATAGATATAATCCCGCAGGTAAGTCAACTTCTACATGACATCACAATCCCACAAGTCCTACGTTCTGCACCACAATCCCACAGGTCCTACGTTCTACACCACAATCCCACAGGTCTGTGTACACTACAATCCCACTAGTCCCATGTTCTGTACCACAATCCCACTTGTCACATGTTCTCTGATAGTCTATATTATATAATAGTTGAATCCACACTTTTCAAAAGTTATGTCCCTTTGCTGCCATCTTGGGGGATAAACCCATAGAATCCTCACAGTACCCTTTGTTTTTTTCAGGTTTGTGACTTTGTCATTTGACTGGGAGAAATTGTGGCATTAGTGTATACTGATTGCCCCATGTTGGGGCTACCCACACATCCAAAGAAAACAATTTAAACACAGTGGATTCATCATAGCCCACCCAAATGTTTGGTAGCATAAAGAGGAGAAATGTTGTTTCTTTCCCTTTTGACCTTTTGGTTGACCTAGCAAAGGGATACAACTTTTGTAAAGTGTGGATTGGTCTATCCTGCGGTTACATCACCTATGTTCTACCACACACAATATAATATTAGAGATTCATCAGAATTTCATATTTTTTGTAACCCACATCTTTTAGCTTGAATTTTTGTCTTGATATCAAATTTTGTACATAGAGGATCTAGATATTGTTTTCCGATATCGAGTACAATTTCTGTAGATTCTACATTATACAGATTGTTTCTTGGGACAATGACTGATGTATTGCTGTATTGTTACACCTCCTCTGACTGTGATAATCTTAATATTTATGTATCTTTTCAGCTCTGGTGAATAAGGGAAATGTGCTGTATGCCCGAGGAGACTATGAGAAGGCTAGAGAATTCTATAAAGAGGCTCTACAGAATGACTCGTCGTGTGTAGAGGGGCTATACAATCTAGGTGAGCCATCCTAACATACTGTGTCAGAGATAAATCATTACACTTACCTCAGATAAAGTTAACTCTTATCAATAACCAGATTTTGTACAATTATGTGCTTACATTAGTAAGGGGTCATCATCTTCTACCAGTTCTTAATATTTTTTTTCAGGTTTTTGAAATCTCAAGATAAAAATTTCCCATTTTATTTAAAATCTGTATGTATTCTAAATTAGGATTAACTACATCTCTGTCTTTCTACAGGGTTAACCAATAAAAAGATAAGTCGGTTAGAGGATGCACTGGACTGTTTCTACAAACTTCACGCTATTCTACGTAACAGTCCACAAGTCATGTACCAGATAGCGGATCTGTATCCTTCTCTCTGACTGATAACTACTTTTCATTATTTCAACATTTTATAAATTTATGTAATCATTACTGAAAGACTCAAATAACATTTATATGAGTAAGAAAAGCAAATACACTACTGTATACAGGGAAATTTTCACCCCTGTGTTGTTTTTTTTTTGCCCTACCCTCTTTAGGTTGAATTTACAACATGGTGAATGAAAATAATTCAGTAAAATTTCTTTAACAAAACCATGACTGGGAGAATTTAAAATGGGCCAAAATTGTTTTTCATTGTGGAAGGGCAAAAATAATACTGGGCGAAAGTAACCCTGTATACACTATTATGATCATGGTTTATATGACCTTGACCTATAAATAGACATGACCAATTGGAAGACACAGCACAGGCCACAGAGTGGTTCATGCAGTTGATAGGCGTGGCCCCCACAGACCCCTCAGTTCTCGCGCGGACCGGAGAAATCTATGACAATGAGGGGGATAAAAATTT